CCCGCTTAATTTAGAAATGGTTCAGCCCGTTGCTTCCAACTGCTTTATTTGTTTTTAGTAGCAACTAATACCTATAACTGTGCCAGAGGACAATTTGAATCGATACCATGGGCAATTCAGATTGTCTTGACTTCTTCGTTATATAGCTTGTATTTAGATAGCTTATACCTCATAATTGCCGTTTTGTTATTTTGTTTTTCCATTTGAAATGTTAATATTCTTGTTTTGATTGTAGCCTTTGATTCCTGTGTGTCTATTTTATCGTTATTCTAGTGTTGTATCTTAATTTTTATGATATTTCTTGCTTTGGTTTACGTCAGGTGTTATTATTCACAGCAATAGTCACCTAAGTGTTCCTGTTTGTGCCTCTTTTTGTTTAATTTCTGTATCAACATCTTGACATCTTAGTGTCATTTACAGTATCTCTGACGTCCTGGGTTTCTCTCTTTTTTTTCTGTTTTAATTTTTAATTTTTTTAATGTCAGTGTCAATGTTTTCACCTTTTGTTTGTTGTGCTTGTTCTCCACAGAAAACTCTTAGTGTATTTATAGTCGAGTCTATACTGTGTCGAGATGTCTGTTTTGTGCCAGTGCTAGTTTCAGTCATAATGCAAATGTACCGTTTACACTTTGTAAACTGAAAACCATTTCCTGTTTCAGACCACAGTTGTGATGTCCTGCTTAGTAACATAAATCGAACACATGGGCAAAATTCTTGTAAAAGTTTTTATAGCTACTTATTATTAGAACTATTTATAACTAGATTTTAGGGCTGTGTCCTGAGTCAGTTTCTCTTTTGCCTCTACACCAATGAATCAGAAATAGCCTAGGTTTAACTTCACTCAAATAACATCAAACTCATTAACATTAATTTTTTCAGTAACTTTTTTGTTGTCCAAATAAACACTTGTGACTTCCCCAAAACCTTTTTTTTGACATTTTACATGCTTGATTGATTCATTAGCGCTCTTTCAAAAATCAGAGACAAACTAAACAGCTTGCAGCTTTATACCGGCACTTTCACATCATATTTAATGTTCAGTCTATATCTTTACTGATATAGACTTCAATGACATAAACAGCACAAACTTGTATGTCACAGAGATAGGATATGGAAAAGGGATGCAAACCCTCAACTCTCTGCCCTCTTATACTTCCTCTATACTTCCTTGCAGCTCTGTTATTAGACAGACCAACAGCCTTCATTTTTGCAGCACCCATCTTATCTAAATCATATCTAAAGCTGCGGGGCATTTGAGCTGGTCTGTTATCATGTGGTTTGCTGCAGTACTTTGAATGATGGCATTAGTGTTTTGATATTTACTGATGTAGATATATAATGTTTTTTTCTGCAGGCGGTATTCTCAACTTTTTTTTGAAAGAACACGAATGGTATTTTTCTGTGACTATGTGTACTGTCTCTCAATGTCTTCTTCATTTGTTGAGTCTTACACTGTCAAAATTCAGTTTTCAGACAGAAAATACATACTGGTTAATTCAATTTGTTTTACAAACCCCAATTCAAAAAGTATTCCAAAATAAAATTTTAAGAAGAAACTACTTGATTTTGAAAATAATCCTGTTATGTTGATTTCTGATACTAGAGCGTAAACCCCCAGCGCAACACACACTTGACACCTACGAATCACACACTGACATGACCCACACACACACACACACACACACTCCCACAGTACAGACAGGAACACACACACATTGCATGCAGAGACATATACATCACACACACACACATGCATAATTAAGAGATAGGGCAAGACCTTAAAAGGAAAGGTATAGAAGACGAGAGATGAGGAAGAAGTTGTTTTGATCGAAACTGTGTATGACGTATAGGTGAACGTGATAACATAATAACAGGAAAGGTGGGAGGTAAATAAGGAACTTTGGAATAGTATAAATGTAACAGTTCGAAGAACTGCCCTTCGAATCTGCAAGGTGCTTCATGCTGAGCTGATTCCCTCCTGCACAGGGGTTGAAATAAAGAAGTTGATGAATTGAAGGAGTCTGTCTCGAGTCGTTTGTTGAGTCAGTCGTTGTGGTCTTTCACCAGGTCAGATTCAAAGGATCGGGAGAGGCTTCGGCACGCCGACAATGTGTGTGAGTGTATGTGTGTGTGGTTCTACAAAACAGAATGAAGAAAACAACACAGATTACAATCTAATGTAAACACCAATAATCACGTTAGTAGGCTACACAGTGTTGGGAAGGTTACTTTTAAAATGTATTCCATTACAGAATACAGAATACATGCCCCA